ATGCTTCTGGAGCTTCAAGGCGTCGAGTTGACTTTGGAGATCGTCAAACCTCTTGTCTCTTGGGTTATGGCCCGAAGATGACGCTCCTCTAGATGACTCGGATGAGGAGTGAGAAGGAGTAGGCACCCGCTCTTTGTGCTTCAAGGATTTATGCGAAGCCCGCGAAGTCCTCTCTCTCTTCCTCTTCTTCTCGCTCAGGAGCTGCTCCAACATCTCCTTTAGGGGGTTGATGGTTGCTTGTTGCTCGTCGAGTCTCTTGGATATCTCGTCAGGGACATCGGTCATGTGCATATTTGCGTGCTTGCCCTGAACTGAGCTTGAAGTCTGCGACATTGCCACTGCTGAGCAATCGTCGTCGTCGTTGTCAGAGACGGACGTCAGACCCATGCAGGCAAACGGGGTGGCCACCCCCATTTGGGCGTGAGCGTGTTGGCGAGGTTCAGGCTGGCAAGGTTCGCCCGTCAGGCGAGATTGGTACAGTATGCCTGCGCCTGTCTGGCGAGCTGTTGCTTCGCCTTTCTGGCGATCTTGGGCCGTCAGGCGAGCTTGGTGAAGTTCGCTTGTTGCTCGCCTAAACTGCTAGGCTCGCCCGATTCGAGCGGTTCGCCAAAAATGGGAACCTGGCTCAAGAGGTTGATTCCTCTCAAGCCTGAATAATAATTCAGGCTGTCGTGGGGGATGAGGGATTGTGCCTCAAGACGAGCGAGAGCTTTTCGTCGCCGCTGTTTGGATCTTTTTGAACGATGAGCGTTCATGTCGACGGTGGAGGTGTAGTCTGCGTCGACACGAATGGCTGATTCCTTTTGCACAGGGGTCTGCGAGGATCGTTCATCGATCCACTCAGCAGCCCCTAGACCTGCATTCTCGAGTCTCGGCTCGGCCTCAACTGGTCCTATTTAATTCGCACTTGACATCTGCTGTACAGTTATTGGCAACAATTTTCATGGAGTTCCGGTCCCATCAGATTCTATAGATGGAAGTTAAACATCAGTATTCTTCTTACACAACTTTCTAGCTTCTTCTACTTAACCATCATCTGAAACCACTCCAAAAATTGAAGCCAAACTCTGATTCTGTAGGTGTAAATTTTGATCTCCCGAAAAACAGGGAACTTCGTTTGTATTGATAAGAATGCTTATTACAAACTAATAAATCAAATGTTTACAACAGAAGCGGAGGGAAGGCCCCCCTTGTTTAACATGGGTTCTTCGGTGGCGATAGGACGCCTCGCTCGGTGCTCGTGCCGAGTCTGCTTCCCTTGGACGATCCGATCGAGGTTGCTGGAGAGCTTCAGTATGTAGTAGAAGCTCGAGTCGATGGAATTCGGGTCTTCTAGTTCACCGGCGATCGGGGCTCAGAACTAGAAAGAGTAGAAGCTCGAGTCGATGGAATTCGGGTCTTCTAGTTCACCGGCGATCGGGGCTCAGAACTAGAAAGTGGCGTTGCAATGCAAAAGTGATGCAGAGAGCTTGTCGTCGACTCCGTTGGGAGTCGAGAGCCAGTGGTTCAGTTAACTGATTGAATTAATCAATTAACTATGTGTGAACCTCTTTCCTGTAGCCGGGCGAGGTTCTTAAATAGAGGAGAGATGGCGTGGCCGCTCCTTGAATCATGGGATGTGACCATACACTGTTGAGAGACATCTTGTCGCTCCTCTGTACTACGAACCGTCACTCGATGGGTCGTGCTTCACGTCCTGTCGTCCATTACTCGAGTGGATTGGGCCAGCTCACTGTGCGCTGGCGGTTCCAGCTCTTGACTTGGACCGATGAGCTGAGTTGCATTTATGAACGCGCAGGTTGATCTGGCACCTGTCCGATTACTCGTACCGTGAGCAGTCATTCGACGGGCCTGGAGTACCGTGTCTTCTCTCTTCAGGGCGAGAGAGAGGTGGGAAAGCGGGTTCCCGGTACTCGAGTGGGCATGGACAGCTCGTCGAATGCCGGCGGATCCGGCTCCTGATTCGGACAGCCGAGGTGAGCTGCATTTATGAATGTTCAGGTCGACTCGACACCTAGGCGGACTTGGGTCTGCAGGCGAGCTAGCAGGCGAACTGGGTTTGCAGGCGAGCTCAGGTGCGCAGGCAGACTTGGGTCTTGATCGTGCAGGCGAAATTCGAGCTGCAGGCGAGCTCCTGAGTATGGATCGAAGAATAGGCCGTAACTTTCAAACCGTAAGTCGGAATTGGACGAATTATATATGAAAATCGCCTATCTCGACGAGATGGGGCCATCCGAACCAAGCCAAAGGCTTTAGTTCGCTTCCTCCGTTTCGCCAAATTCCTTATGGTTTGAGAGATATCTGCGTTTTCCCCTTTTTCTGCTATTTCGGGCGAGGTTTTAGCAGTTTTGTTCTGAACTTCTCTGATAAGGATTAAAGGCAATTTTTATTGCCTACAATTAGTTGTTGTGAAGGTCGTCAGATTGTAACCTTCTACGTGAAAGTCTTCAAATTGTAGTCTTCTGGGAGTCGTCAAATTGTAACTTCCGTCGTCAGTGTTTGATGGGGATAAGATATCTGTTGTGATTTTTGGACAGCCTACAAATTTTTCTCCTTGTTTTCGTTCTCAAACTTGAGAAACTTAGAGCTTGTGGATTCAAGCTCGTGAAATACCTGTTATTGTCAGGGCTTGTCAGCATCGGAATGATATCCGATCGGCCTCCGTGTTTCTACGCCTGTGTCAAACCATCACCTCTTGACCATCATGAAGATCCTCGTGAGTTCTATTCAATGCTCTATGAATTCTCCACAATATCCTTTGAAATAGTAGTCGTGATGAACCTCTTCCTAATTTTGCCAGACCCTCGTTTGTAATGACCTCAATATCATCAAAAGCATTTATCTGAATTTAAGACAAAAAATTGCAATTCTTAAGCAATTGTAGCAATATGAAACAAGTGATGAGCTTACCATCCAAATAACTTATAAATCCTCTCTCATCTAAGCCCCTGGGCACGTATCTCTTTTGTAGGGCACGTTGTTGATCATCATCGAATGGAGGACCGGTCTCATTTATAATCCATCTTCTAGTAATCCTCTAATACCATATAATGTAAGCCAATTCCTGAAGAAGAGGATCAAGCAGTTGTACGATACAGATATGGTGATCATTCCATCTATGTGATGACATCCTTTCGTGACCTTTCTCTCTATTTTCCTAACAAGTCATCACTACAAAGTCAAGCAAATTCACATGTCAATTTCATTGGTGTTCCCATCCTTATACTTTTCACAATAGTCAACCCATATGTCCCAAGCTATTTGATCTCTATGATCCTTCCATATGTTTTTTGATTTAGTTTGCTCCCTTTGAGTTTGAAGTTGAGAGAAATTAATACTATTATTTTCTTCTTCATCCGTAACATCACCTTCATCCTCTTAAATGTAAACTATTTCGTTGAATAACACATCATCTGGGTCAACCATTACAACTTAATTATGCAGAACCGTGCATGCCAATATAATATCAACTTGGCAGGAAAAGGATAATGGGGCTTAGCAGTGAGAATCTTGAAACGATTCTTCAAGCAACCAAATATAGATTTAATCTTAGACCTTAATGAAGAATGTCTAAGATTGAATAATTTCCTTCTATTTTTAGGTGTCCTTCCTATTTGTTCCTTCAAATGGTCATGGACACCACAAGATGGGGAGATGAAACCGAGCATGATCTTGTATCCAGCATCACACAAGTAATATTTTCCTATAATTTTCATGATATAAAATTATTTATTAGTATTTTTAACATTGCATTGAATATCAATATTATTGTTAAAGTAAATATGTTGGATTTGAAATTTTAATGAAATTACCATCAGATACTATCAGACTATGAGGTTATGGCATAGATAATACATCTTGAAGGACTCTAAAGTTGTTTGCAAAACCTTCCTAGCCCGCTAATACGTAGGTGAATAGCTTGTTTGGAATACACTCTGTTAGAATATTTTGTGTGACTCCTCTGCGACCACGGAGCCATGGAGCAAGATTGGTGGGTAATAGAGCATCAATATGTGTCCCATCTATCGTATCTAGGCAATCCTAGAGTGTATAAAATATTACTAGTGAATATTGCCAATCTAAATTAAATAAACATGATTATATATTTACAAAGTATAGAGTGTATACCTTAAAATAAGGGTAGTATAAAGGGTTGTTAATAATCTCTTGTGGAACTTCATTCCGTGCTTGTCTCAAGAAGCGTGGACGTATGTAGCAAATAACTTCTAACATCTTGTTAAAATATCTACCTACATTCTCATCAGATCTAATAAAAGGTGACCTAACAATTCGATTTTTAGTTTTATGCCCCATATATTCAAAGTCATAGCAAGCTTCTCCTCCACTATAACAGTCTCGAGTCTCGTAACAAATCATTCCTCCTTATAATTTCTGCAAGCTTCCTAAAAGCACCACTACACATTCTAACACAGTTGACACAACTATCACTGAATCCATTATATATGAGGTCTATGTGATCTTTTCTAATTTTATATTGTTTTATTTTCTCATCACTAGGACCTTAAGGAATGGATCTACGTCTACTTTGCATTCTCCTCAAACAGAGAGTGCAACACTTGAACGCATGTTAATTACAGTCTCCTTATCAAGGTCACCATCCATCTATAATACTAACATCGTATTAAAGTAGGTATTAACATTATTTAAACAAACAAAATCACGCAATTATACCACATACGATAACCATTACATTAAATAAACAATCAACAACTATCCAATTTAACGAGAAGCCTAACGAATAAACACAATGAATTACATGAAGATTCTTACCTCAAATCAACAAGTGACGTCTGCTAAAAAATGGGGGCGAGATTGCGGTTTGATGAGATTGCGGTCAGCTTTGCGGCTAGGATGAGATCTCGTTGGCGGCTGGAAAAAAAAAAGATCACGTGGCGTCTTGAAAGGGGAAGGATGAACAGGGAACGATGAGGAAGAATATCGAGGGGAAAGAGCGGTGATGAGATCGCGTTTGACGGCTGGGAAATAATGAAAGAAAACCGAACACTAGTTTCCCCTTTCTGAGCGCTCGTGTGCGTGAGAAGAAAATAAGAGTTTTTCTCTATAATCGGATTATCAAGGGTGGAAACCTTTCAGGTACAAAATCCTAGCTGATATTACAATTTTCTCCCACTTTTTTTTTATTTTTGACAAACCAAACAGCCAATTTTGAGGAAAAACAGTAATAATTTTTCAAGTCAGTTTTCTGATGGGTTTTTCTGCTGATTTTAGTCCAACCAAACAGCACAAGAGAAGCGAGAAAAAAAGACCCCCCTTACGCTCTCCCTCTCTTGTCTCCAGTTTCTCCTTCCTCAAGTCCCACCACTTCTTCTCAATCTCCTCTATTGATCCAAATACTCTCCCTTCATTCAATCAAATCTCTTTCCCCTATCATGAGTCAGTCTCTCCTCTCTCCAGCTTCCATCCTCATCAAGCACAAGTTCTCCACAAAACCCTCCTCTTCTTTTCCAATCCCTACCCCAAAATTCTCTCCTTTGAGAAGAAATTTCCATACTAAGGCTGTTATCTCTGAAATCCTAAATGAGAAAAAGTACCCGAAAGTGGCCGCTGACTCCACTGGTCCGATTACAGCGGCAGAGCTTCTCAAGGTTGTCGAAAGTGCTGCCAAGGCCGGAGCTGAGGTAACCCATGATTGCTCCTTTTTTTATAGGTTTTATATGTTTTTTGTTGAATTAGTTAGACCCATTCCTTGTTTTGCTTCAATGGGTGCAAAATTTGATAGGGGTTGTGAATATATTGGGTTACCCGATTCTAGATTTGTGTTAATCAAGGGAAATTTTGTTTAATTTTTCTAATAGACTGGTTGTGTTCAATGTTGAAAATGTGTTCACTATTTGCTAAATGTATAAGTTTTCATTCTAATTCCAATTTAATCTTTCATTCACTGGTCTCGTAAGAAGGAAAATCATGTTGGTACATGGGGTAGTAGATTGATTTCTTAAGTACATTTGACATTGCTATGGCAGAAATATAATTACAGTATCAGGCTATTGATTTTTTTCTTTTTCCGATGGTTGATTTTCCTTCTTAGTTATATAATGGTAGTTTGTCCAATGGTTGAAACCAAACCCACATTTTAGTGAATTTGTCTATTAACCTATTCAGATATTTGATTCTGTGGGGGAATATTCTTCATTCAGAGATAAAATTACCATGAAATCTTATGAGAAAATATATATGTACCTTTTCTCACATAATAGGTATTTGATGTGGAACCAGAGGATGCATACCTTACATTTTTGTTTGGAAAATGAAATTAATGGATCGAAATTATGCCCTTTATACCTGTTGCTATTATTGTCATTTGTGTGTTTCTCAATAAGATAAGTCATATAAATTTGAAAAGTTTGTTTTTTGAATAAAGTTAACATCTAGCGATTTTTGTTCTGTAAACCCTGATATTATGGATCAGGATTGCTCAGTTGCTCTATGAGAATATACAACACTTATCAAAAGCCCACACTGGACAACATTGTTATACATTTATTGAAGGATATTTGTACTCAAAAATAGATCTTTGAGTGTCTTTTTGTGCGTATAGTGAAAAACTGGAGGAAGTGAAATAATGAATTGAAGAAAACAACTAATGTAATGTTATATTATGTTTTCCTTATAAAGACATAATCCTCTTTCATCCTGTTCCTTTTCTTATATGTTGAAATCAGAGAAAGAGAAGATTTTCCTTTTTTTTACGATCTCTTCATATTAAAGAAGAACATAATAGCCCACATTTATACACATTGTAGAATATATATGAAAAGAAAGATCTAATAAAAAAGTTAATTTATAATAAAGTTAATTTATAATAAAGTAAAGTTCTAATTAGAAATACTATATTTAACTTATACATTGAATCCTCCATTAAAGGTGATGAATCGTGTATATCTTTGAATACATTCTCTCAAGCTAGGGTGTAGAGATTAATGAAACCCAGCTTCTTCCGAAAAGAGTTGATTAGTTTGCATGTCATGTTATCTCAGTCAATCAACAATCGAAGAACAAAGTTGTGTAAGCAAAAAGTTGCCGAAAAAAATGACAAGAAAAAAAGAACTTTGCAAGCGACATCAAGATAAAAGATAATTCGCGGGCGACAAAGACAAAAACGGGCTTCGCAAGCTGCATTCAGAAAAAGAAGCTTTGTGATTTAAAGGACCATGCTATGTAATAGTACAAAAGTCGAATGGGTCCAAAAACAAACTGAGATTCGAAGGGACCGAGTAGGCAAAGGAAGTCAACAAAGACAAGATGTCGGGGCACAGAGAGATGATGAAGAACGAGGGGTCGATCAAGAAGTTGATTCAATGACCGTAATGAGATTTAAAGCTCCGACGAGGTGTTTTCTATTGTCATTGAGGTATAGGACAGCAACAATTTGATGAGATAGCATGTGCGTGATGTCAAAACCGTCAACCGATGAAAACGAAGATTTACGGATTATTGATGTCAATAGATTTGAACTAGATGAAAACATAATTGTACTTGATCTCTAAGCCGTCGAGAGGAAGCACCATGTTTGATGCTTGCGGCGAAAACCCCTTTGATAGCCCCAAGATTAAAGATGAAGGTAAAGTTTTTGAGAATTCAAAGCTTACTCCAATACTATCTTGAAATAGGGGAGAATTTTATTTATTTCTCATTCATTGTGAAGAGGATAATACCCCATATATTGCTTTTGTTTTCTTTGAAATTTTTTGCTTCACTTTGCTTAAGATTGAGCATATATTTTCTTGTTTTGAAGCACTACTTAGACATGGTGGGTGCGTGTTACATCTAATACTAGTCAATACCAATTTTAAATTGACAGTAGTACTTCTTTACATATAATAGATAACTAGACTTCCTTGCCCAACAGAAGCAAGTTTTGCTTGCCTGATATTGTTGCCTAATTCGTAATTGGTATAGTTTTTAACTCTTTTACCTGAATGTTATATTTATCGACAGGTAGTTATGGATGCTGTCAACAAGCCACGGAATATTAATTATAAGGGAGTAACAGACTTGGTCACAGAGTAAGGAGATCTTTCTTGCTTCCTTGCTCTGTGTGTTTGGTTTTTTTACTTATTTGCTACGCTATGAATATTCATTTACCAATGTTCTTCATGCCTTATATTACTGTTGCTTTTATAATGTTTTATTTCCTTACCTTTTACTTGCAGCACAGATAAAATGAGTGAATCTGTCATTTTGGAGGTGGTCAAGAAAAACTTCAAGGACCATCTTATTCTTGGGGAGGAAGGAGGCCTTATAGGGGATACATCATCTGATTATCTCTGGTGCATCGACCCACTAGGTATTTGGTCTGAATTTTTTTTCCAAACAAAATTTCACCAATACACTGATAAATTAGTTGATCCAAATTGTTTAGTGAATATAAAATTGCATGTCTTGAAGAGCTAAGGGTATTTGGAGATGATTAATTACTAGAATCACTTGATGCCATCTATGTTATAGACTAAACTTTTTATTTGCTGTACACTTAACAACAATCAGAGAAAATCATATTATATTGTATCTTTTTCATAAAAAAGACATGACATGCATTTATGAGTGGGATTTGGTTACTTAAAAGAGACCTTTCGTGATGATGAAGGAGAGGGTGTTGGATAGTCTTTTATCAGTATGTAGACTGTTTTCCGGACCTGGTTTAATGCATTCTTTGTTAGGCTAATATCACATATCTCCATTATGTTTCATAAGATATATTATCTGATATATTACATTACTGACTGATATACAACACCATTATGTTTCATAATTTATCATTTTATCTGAAAGTATGCTAGGCTGGCTGCTGGCTGATAAATGGGATGTCCATGTCACACCTCATTACATTCAAATCCATTGATGGATTGTATATTAATAGTACTTGTTAATTGAATATTCTTGTGAACTCACCAGATGGCAGGGGCACTTGACCCATTTATTGAGCTTGCAAATATGGGGCAACATTGAAAGTTAATGCTTTAGCTTGAGACTATTATCTGTTGTAGAAAAATAGAAAAGACAAAGATATTATTTATCTAATCCCAACCTCGCTTGAATAAATATTAAAAGGATATTACAAAATAAGTATGAGATAAAATCATATCTAATCATATCTCACAATATCTCCGATAATATCTCATAGTATGTACTAAGATCCTATGAAGCACGGACACGCATAACATGAAGCCGTGTCGTGTTGTGTCCGTGTCGGACACACGTGTCGAACACACGTATCCTATGTATTTTTTAGGATTTGCCTCGTGTCGGCGTGTCGGATGGTCGTGTCGGATCCGTGTCCGTGCTACATAGCTAAGATCTCAATACTAATAATATCTAAAATTCTCCTCAAGCTAAAGCATATATATACTATATACATGTCCAGCTTGTTACAAATGGAAATAAAAACGGCTAGTTGCAAGAGAGTTGGAAGAAACCCTAGGTGGTTTAACAAATTTAAACAAGGGAAAACCCTCGATCAATCCATCGCTCGCTCAGCCGCTCAATCTTGATTTCGACATCCTTTGATAAGAAAAATGATAACATCAAGGTGAACTTCAGAAGTGTCACGACCCTAATTTTCAAACCTAGAAGGAATATTGGAGTCAGACTAAACATGTGAAAAGTCCTCCAAAAATCTACATTCAGCAAAAGACCACCAAAATAATTTTATCATTGAAATAAAACCAACAATAAATAATAAATATTCTCTATAATCCAAAAGTCAATATTCGTCCAACTAACTTGAGAGAAACAAATATTCCTCAACACAAAATAAAAGTCAACCTAAAGGGAGATATTCCATTATTACAAAGCTTCCAAATATCAAATAACTATTAAAGACTTTTATTCAACCTTCACCTAGAAGAAAATAGCAATTAGCAAATTTTATTTCTTGCCCCCTCTTAAGGATTTGCAAACCATGAACTCCACCTAATCCTGAGTCTCTGAGAAAAATGCGAATACAACACAATGAATTCACAACTCAATAAGTGGATAAATCCATACATTAAACACTGATTTTGCAAAAAGTAGAATACTTTGGCTTGATAAGCAAAATATTAGAATAGTAAAAAATCATCAATGAGCACACAAACTTGATACAATATCTTTAAAATAAAAATTCATGAGATGGAGAATAAGTACGTCACGTCTCAATGCGGTCAATGCTTTATACTTCGGTTGACTTGGTAAACTCCACAATTATTAAGCCCATGATTTTGGGACAGTGAGACCCAAATTTAGGCTCTTAGTGCTAAAATGAAAAAAAAACTTCATAAAGGCACATTGAGCCATGTTTAGATGACTTACTTATCTCCAACATATACCAGTATATTGACTTGAGATGCATATGTTTTAAGAAAAATGAACAAAGTTCATATAACCAAATATTTATAAAGAAATGCCAAAGACCAACCAATAGTGAAATCAACTACATATGCATCTCAACCTATTACTATATGAAAATGACATGATTGTCGACGAAGTAAAATAAGCATAAGCTTATACCAAAATATCCATGAGCATCACAAAATCAAACTAATCAACAAATGATATACTAGTGAATCATACAAAGGGTATTATATATCAGGAACAAATCCACGTATACTTAATTGCAATTTTATATGAAAAATATGTAGCACACAATGCATAAATTCACCACTTACCACAAACCCAAAAGACAACCAAAATACCACTCACGATGCCACCTTGGAGATAGTCAAAACCCCTAAAAAAATTGTAAACCGGAGACTCAAACACCTACTTAAATAATCAATGACATAACACACTATATAATTAAAAAGATACTAAAATCAACCAATATACCCTACTGTACCCTATAGTCATGGTCATGCATTGTATGCATAACAATTTTATAATGGAACCCATAGTCATATGCTAAAAAATAAATGGTCATGTATAAGACGAAAACAGAATGTATAAAGACGAAAACAAAAGGGAACATAACCGAACTTCGGTTCTACCATGGCCATGGCCTCAAACAATAAGGTATAGACATATGTTTCTAAGTAGGGAGAAAAAATATACCTTGACTAATGTTCTTGATCCCAAAAACCCAACTGATAAAGACTTTTTTCCCCCTTCATGTCGTTTGCTCTAGAGATGAGAAACACAAGAAACAATAAGTGGCGGCGACATGAGATAGGGTTCTCTCTTATTAATATACCATTCCCTACAAACCCCCTCGACAAACTTCCATATACAATAAACCCCCTACAGATTTAAATTAGATATCTTATAATAGCTATTTTTTTGCATAAAAGACCTTTATAACTTAATATTTATAATATAGACTTATTATCAATAAAAAAATTAGGGATGTTACATAGTTTACCCCTTAAAAGAAGTTTTGTCCTCAAAACTTGAATATGCTTGAGTCCACTGTTAGATACAGATATTTTCATTCTTCTCATCCTTGCACTTCAAAGTTGGTTCTTTCACTAAATAATAACTTTTTTCATTTTACAAGACTTTTATAAAGAAAGTATTGCTTGATCATAATATTTGCTTGACTCAATCAAATGTAGTCCTCGATCTTTGTCCAACATAGTCGTCACTCATGATGTTTGATACTCTATTGGTATCAAATCTTTCATGATCTAACGATGATCATAGTTTACTGTATGATTGAGGTCAAGTATGTACTTTTTTTCATTTAATGTTACTGCATGTAATACATTGTGAATCTTTGATAAGTCAAGAGGCAATGCCATTTATTTGCTACTGCTCCAATCCTCCTAAAAATCTTAAAAGGTACCATTATAGCTCTGAATCAATAATTCCTTAATTCCAAATATTATTATTTATTTAAGAGATCATATTTTAATGAAGATGTGATCTTCTACGTCAAGTTTCGAATTTAACCTCTTATTATTTTCATATTTCTTTTGCCTACTTGAGCTGCTCAAAGTCAATTACAAATTAATTGACTTTTCTCAATATTAATCTACTCTCAATATTAATCTACACTATCTTAGAAATTATAAATCTTCTTTCTCCTAATTATTCCCAATACAGTGTACCTCAGGGAATATATTGATATAGGATAAATAGCTATCGTTATATGCAACTCTACCAAACTCAGATATTTCTCGATTACCTTCCAAATTCAAGGCGCACACATTCTAATGTATGTAAAAGCCACTCTGATCATCCATATGTACATGAGAAGATTTGCTAAAGATCAATTTCTTGTCTCCAAAGCATTTTTTTTTACATATAAAATTTGGAGCTAAACCTAGAATATATAATAATCATTGATATCTCTAAAATCACAAAGCACCTTTGACATATATTAAGCAAACTTCTCAAGAGAAAAAGTTATTTCACAAGGCAAGGATTGAGTCGATCGATTATTAACTCTCTTAACAATTATTTAAGTAATATCAACCATATTGAATCCTAGGAAGCTCTATTACAAAATCTGTTGTCACCTCGTAACTTGATTTCCATGGATCTAAGATTTAGATCATATATATATTGTTATAACTCACTCAATTCAAGCTAAAAGATCTTAAGGTAAAGAAACACTATTTCTAGTCTATAAATACAACTATCAATATCAAGCTTTATCAAATCCAACTATATATGTTTTGGCATCTTGATTGAAATAGTAATACTAGCATTTGGCATTGTATTCAAGATCTTAACCACCACTTTTGACTTTACAAGATAACAAATATTAAGATCATATTCTCTCGTCATCTCCATCCAATTTCTTTCCCTCATATTCATCTTCTACATGGTAATATATGTACTTAAGATTTTCATTATTAATGTGCATGTCAAATATATACTCATAATGATAATCATATCTTCATTAACAAGAAATCATGGGACTAACTCCAAATTATACATGGGATAATTTCGCTCATAACGTCAAACTTCCTAGATGCATATACTACTATATTTCCATATTGTATACTAACACACCTAAGACCAACAAGAGAAACATCACACTGTATACCACAAATCTTCCCGATCCAGAAAGAAATTGTAAGAAATTATGCATATAGTATCCTTCAACTCATGATATTCCTATTCTTAAATCTTGGTCCATTAAAATAAGTTATATTTTCATCATACATCAATACATTAAGGACCATTATATCAAAAAGACATAAATTAGATGGTATATGAGGCTTATGTACCTAAAAATCAAACTCAGATATATTAGAAGCTAATCCAAACTCATGGGTACTACTATATTGGGGTCCATTTATAAGAGAGAAATTACAAAAAGACATTGGTCTATAAAGAAAGAAAATAAGATAAATACTGTTACCCTTAACATCTAAACCATAGTTATATGTGATCATATTAAAAGTAACGTATAAAGGCTATTTACTAGGTAAGCAAGACAATAAAAGAAATTCTCCAAACATTTTTCACATCTCTTCAACTTTGACACTGATTGTGTTTTGGCAAACATTGTGAGAGTGATCTCCATAACCTTTTGACTCTTGGAACATATATCAATATCATAAACCAAAATTATAAAAATAATTTTAACATCTTAAGTTGTGTATAACATTTATCCACTAATTTACCTCATAATGTAGTCTTAACTAACATAGCACAAAACAACATTCAGGTACACATCTCCTAGTCATGCCTTGTGCTACCCGGACTATACTTTCAACCTCAAAAAAATCATACCATTAACTCTAAAGTCCATAGCTCCAAGATTATGAATGGAATCATACTTAAATATACTATAATCCTTTGGTCAAAAAATTCATCATAATGTTTTTTTAATTGTGCTTCAAAATAACTTATCAAATTCCATTCTATTCATCAAAATTCAATATCTTCTTTTTATCACCAAATCGTCTTCCAGTTCAAGCTGGATCTACAACCAAGCTCTGTTACCAATCTGTCACGATCCCAATTTTCAAACCTAGAAGGAATATTGGAGTCGGAGTAAACCTGTGAAAAGTCCTCCAAAAATATACATTCATCAAAAGACCACCAAAATAATTTTATCATTGAAATAAAACCAACAATAAATATTTTTTATAATCCAAAAGTCAATATTAGTCCAACTAACTTGAGAGAAATAAATATTCCTCAACACAAAATAAAAGTCAAACTAAAGAGAAATATTCCATAATTACAAAGCTTGCAAATATCAACTATCAAAAACTTTTATTCAACCTTCACCTAGAAGAAAATAGCAATTTGCAAATTTTATTCCTTACCCCCTCCTAAGGATTTGCAAACCATGAACTCCACCTAATCCCGAGTCTCTGAAAATATGTGAATACAACACAATGTGTTCCCAACTCAATAAGTGGATAAATTCATATATTAAACACTGATTTTGCAAAAACTAGAATACTTTGACTTGATAAGCAAAATATTAAAATAGTAAAAAATTATCAATGAGCTCACAAACTTGATACAATATCTTTAAAATAAATATTTTAATGAGATGGAGAATAAGTAGGTCACGTCTCAATGCGGTCAACACTTCATACTCTGGTTGATTTGGTAAACCCCACAATTAATAAGCCCGTGGTTCCAGGACGATGAGACCCAAATTTGGGCTCTTAGCGCTAAAAAAAAAAACTCATAGAGGCACATTGAGGCCTGCTTAGATGACTTACTTATCTCCGACATAAACTAGTATATTGACTTGAGATGCATATGTTTTATGAAAAATGAACAAAGTTCTTATAACCAAATATTTATAAAAAATGCCAAAAGCCAACTAATAGTGAAATCAACTACATATGCATCTTAACCTACTATTAAATGAAAAAGACATGAATGTCGACGAAGTAAAATAAGCATAAGCTTATACCAAAATATCCATGAGCAACACAAAATCAAACTAATCAACAAATGATATACCAGTAAACCATACAAAGGATATAATCCATCAGGAACAAATCCACATATACTTAATATAATTTTATATGAAAAATACGCAGCGCACAATGCATAAATTCACCACCTACCACAAACCCAAAAGACAACCAAAATACCACTCACGATGCCTCCTCAGAGCCACTCGAAACCCCTAAAAAATACATATAAACAATGATCAATACTATTGTAAACTGTCGACTCAAACACCTACTAAAATAATCAATGACATACTTATAATACACTATTTAATTAAAAAACACTAAAATCAACCAATATACCCTACTGTACCCTATAGTCACTGCCAAGCATTGTATGCATAACAATTTTTATAATGGAACCCATAGTCATATGCTAAAAATTAAATGGTCATGTATAAAGACGAAAACAGAAGTATAAATACGAAAACAAAAGGGATCAGAACCAAACTTTGGTTCTACCATGGCCATGGCCTCAAACAAGGAGGTATAGATATATGTTTCTAAGTAGGGAGAAAAAATATACATTGACTAATGTTCTTGATCCCAAAAACCCAACTGATAAAGACTTTTTTTTGCCCTTCATGTCATTTGCTCTAGAGATGAGATTCGCGAGAGACAATAAGTGGCGGCGACGTGAGGTAGGGTTTTCTCTTTTAGTACACCATTACCTACAAAGCCCCTTGACAAACTTCCATATACAATAAACCCCCTACAGATTTATATTAGATATCTTATTATAGCTATTTTTTTGCATAAAAGACTTTTGTAACTTAGTATATACTTATTATCAATAAAAAATTAGGGATATTACAAAAAGATTTTATCTGGAAAAGGGCCGGATGTTGAAGCAAATTGCCTTAAGTACCAGAGGGTTACTGTTAACAGTGAGCATTACCAGCTTGGTTACTGTTGCCTATGAACAATACCGCACCGTCACTTTTTATGAACAGTACCATGGCAAACAGTAAAAAAGGTTGGTTTTTTGAGTCTATGGTATGTTTGAGGTCAAGTTTTCTAGATTGAAGTCCAACGAAGATCTCGAAGTCAAATGATGTAGAAGTCAAAGATATGTTGAAGCCATCGATGTCATCAAAACTACCGAGGGGAGCATGACGGACGTGCATCCCCCTCGACGGCCATGAGATGTAGAAAGATGAGAGAAGTTGTCTAGAATCAAGTAGGCTCTGATACCATCTAGAGAAATAGAAAAGACATAAATATTATTCATTTAACCCTAGTCTATCTTAAATGAAGACTAGGTGGATATTATAAAATAGGTGTGTAATAAAATCATATATAATCACATCTCATAGTATCTCATAATATCTGCTCAATACTAATAATATCTAACATTTGCAGCCTTTTGCACTTCTGTTTGCCCTTTTCACATTTTGGTACTTGCTTTGTTTCTGAGCTTGAGCTTTTTCTTGATGTTTAGATGGAACAACGAATTTTGCACATTGTTATCCAAGCTTTGCTGTTTCAGTAGGAGTCCTTTTCCGTGGGAAGCCGGCAGCTGCATCTGTGGTAATTACTTTCTTTTGTTATTCATACTTCTAATTAAATATCTTTATGTCTCATTTTGGGGTGCAAAAGGAATATATTCAACATAATAAATTCAGCCTCTAATTCTTGGTTGATACTGTTTTTTGTTTTTGAAAGATACAGGAGTTCCAGGAATATCATTAAAAAATTTGGCTTGGGATACTTGTTAATTTTCTTAATTTAATCACAACAAACAGGATAAATATATATTCATAATATAAGGTTAGTTTTGTTTTGGGTGAAAATTCAAATCTTGTCAGAAGTTATGAATTACTTTGCTTTACACTAATTACAGGGCTTGAATTTGAATCCAAAGACTACTCAATCCCTTACCAATAAGCCATGTATTACCATTATCAGCTTCTTGCATTCCACATGAAATAATTAGACGCTGGTGTTGATTACTTTAGATAAAATAAATGGTCTAAATGAACATCGAAAGTTAAATTATGAAATATTAATGAGAAGTTGATTCCTACGATCCATAATTATGGAATTAATCTTAATCTAGTTGTTGAACTTCCGACATGCTGGGTGCTTCTAGTGTCACAATGTGTAATTCTGAAGTGGTAATTTAACTTTATTGTTTTCCTGCTTCAGCTGTGTTCCAGTTATTAGATTTGAAGGATTTTGTGGAGCTAAAGGTCTTATACATAAATTTATATACACACTGTTATAAAAGAGTAAGTCCTTAACTGTCTTTTCATTGAAGTGTTGAGAGATTTTCTAAATCTATTTTTAATTCATTTCAAAATTGTAGTGATATCGAATACCGTTTTCATTCACAATTCATTACACAGTACTTAGAAAATTGCAGATAAGAAATGTTGATTTTCTTAAATCAAACTTGATCTGAAGGAAATGAACAAAGATGACTTCAAATAAAGAAGCTATGTTATGTATAGTCATTTTGGTCGAGCTCAGTACAACGTAAACTTCTTAAGTTTTACTTTTTCTTTTTTCAATTTTTTGCTTTTATGTTATCTAGGTAGTCTGTTTGCTCTGTCTAAATAGATTTAAAAGATCAATTATTCATAGAAGTACTAGTATTCCTTTGGCAAAAATTAAAAGAAAACATTTCATGCATATTGTGTCCCCTCATAAGTCCTCTTCTATATAGTTTCTTCCTATGGTATTCAACTTCTCCTTTACCTCTATTTCTTTGTAGGCCCTTGAAACAAAGATCAACGTCCAATTTGTAGCTTTATGCTATTTGTTTTCCACTGGATAGACAAAATACAGTCTGGAGAAGAATTTAATTCAAAGGACTGCACTCAAATCGAGTGTCTATAGTTTCAAAGTTCTTGCTTATACTTATGGCCTTTAAATATTTCAGGAGTACACAATGTTTTTTTCATATGTCGATTATTTAGTATTGAGGCATGATCCAACTCTTCATTGTCACATAAACACTTGAGTTTCTATCTTTGAGAAATCACATTTACTCAGATTTGAATATTGCTTGATATTTTTTGTCTTTTCAGGTTGAGTTTGTTGGTGGTCCTATGTGTTGGGATACTCGCACATTCTCTGCTAGTTCATGTAAAGACAGTCCCCTTTCAAGCTAGTCCATTGATGACAAATCATTTCATACTTTTTTCTTGGCTAGTTGAGTAATTAAGAGGATCCTCTATGTGCAGGTGGTGGAGCCTTTTGTAATGGAAAAAAAATTCATGTTAGCCAGACTGATCAGGTATTTGATGATTTCTTATTTTTGAAGGTCTCTATGATTTATGTACTTTATTTGACAGTCAGTTGCTGCTAATGGAATTTGGATATTTCACCTTAAGTGCATGTTACTTAATTGTGAAGTGTTGAGCTTGACAAATGACAAGAATTCAAGGAATTAGAACTTTGTTAAAGGAACGGCTAGCGCCCAATCACAGTAATTTTTGATAAATGGTGAAATTATACTACTGGTGGAACCCCTTTAAGATATCTTCTTAACATACTGCCTGAAAGCAAATAAACACTAGTAAATATGGTCACAAGTACAGTTTACGTTTAGAAATCATTAGTTTGTTTAGTTATCTTTACCTGGAATTTCTTTTACATTCCCGCATCCATAACTTTCTTCATACTTCGTAGAATGGGTGGTAGTAATGTTTATTGGAGATCCTTTGCTTGGAAAATTGTGAAACAAATGGAAATGATTCTTCAAGTATTTCGTTCTGATAAAACAGCAGAGATGCCAAATGAAGATAAGCATGAGAATTTAACCTTTTCTCGCTTCAATAGGTTGACACATGAAGACATCATATATTAGTTAGAAAAGTTCAGTCATCCTGGAGTTTTCTGTTGAAAGGGGTGACTTATTAGCAATTACATTGTCAATTTTCGTTATATAAGCATAAACTGGGACAAAAAATGTTGTCAAGCCTTTGGATCATGCAAATGACTAATCATACAAATTGGGATCTCTTATCACACTGCCACCAACACAGTCTTTTAGAAGATCTAGTGGCAGTGCAGTACACTAAATAATGGTTGGAACTAATTTGTTGAAGAATTACTCCTTCAGTGTGCCATTACGGGGAATTAACATAAGCATATTGAATTTCTAGTATCTTTTTATTTACCATTATTACTTACTGTTGCATATCTTGTGATAGTTGCAAGCATGATAATGCCTTAATTGTTATATTCTCTCTACTGTTACTTATCATGATGTTGAATTATTCTCACTCAGATCGAGCGATCCCTTCTAGTGACTGGATTTGGATACGATCACGATGAAGCGTGGGCAACAAACATTGACTTGTTCAAGGAATTTACTGGCAGCAGCAGGGTAAATAGTTGTAATATTATGATGTCCTGAATATGAAATTTTCATGTACATTGATATCAGTCTATTTTGATTGTTGGTTGCAATTTATAGGGTGTGAGAAGGCTCGGTGCTGCTGCTGTGGACATGTCTCATGTAGCTCTGGGAATTGTTGAAGCCTATTGGGAATATCGGTTGAAGCCATGGGACATGGCTGCTGGTGTCTTGGTAATAACTTTTCTCTACTCTATAGTCTATACAACTTCGGCTAATTATCTTTAGTTCATGGTAATTTAGATATGTAACCTTCAAACTTTTATTTTAAAATTACTGTCCAAAACATTCTGTTTTTCAATGAACCTCTTAATTCATTCCAAAACCTTTAGTTTATTCCTCAGAATAGCTGTTAGTTTCGAGGCCTCTTCTTCCTCCTCCACCCAACCAAAATCCATTAAGAAAACACAACAATATATCCCCTTTTCTCTCTTTGACCACCCAAATAGGGGGAAAATAGCTTTTAATGAGCAAAGTATAACACCTTATAAAAAAGTATAACTCTTTATGACTAAAGTATAACTCTTTATTGTTATAATATAGCTCTTTATTTGTTCCGGAACTACATGAAAGAAATTAATATTGTGTAATACGCCGTCAAGAAAATTGCTGAAGAAAATAAAGAAATATTTAATTTCAAATGAGCAAAGTATAACACCTTATAAAGAAGTATAACTCTTTATGACTTAAAGTATAACTTTTATTGTTATAATATAGCTCTTTATTGGTTCCAGGACTAGATGAAATAAATTAATAGAGTGTAAAATGTCGTCAATAAAATTGCTGGAGAAAATAAAGGAAGATTTAATATCCATTGGTCTAGTTAAGAGAAGAATATGAAAGCTTAATAGCTATTAATTTTTGATTGAGCAAGTATAACACTGTATTTGAAAACATGGCTTCTTATGAGCAAAGTATAACATCATATACAGAAGTATAACTTTTTACGACTAATGTGTATCTCTTTATCGATGTAGGATAGCTCTTTATTGGTTCTGGGACCACTGAAAAGAAATATTTAATGATTGCAATAGAAATTACATTAAAATTAAATTATTATTTTTTATTAAGAGAAATATCAATGAAGGAGAGATTTTGTTAGGAAGAGGGGAAATTAATGGAGGAAAGATAGATTTTGAAGAAGATAAATATACTAAATTGGACTTTGGGGAGTGAGGGGAGCAACACGTGAAAATAAATTTCTCCTTGCATCATCATTAATGCGATGGGAGTGGAGTGCGATCGCTATTTAGAAGGATAGGGGAAATGAGGGATTTTGGATTTGTTTTGGGAGATCCAATATAAAGTTTGAGGGTACACTACAAGTTGGGTTTGAAAATAAGTCATATGGGATATTTTGGGGGTAATGAATGTTTATGGAAGTGGGTGGGTTTTAAATAAGTTTTTTTTTTTTTGGGGGGGGGGGGGGGGAAAAAAAAAAAAACNTTTAAAAAAATTTTTTTTTTTTTTGGGGGGGGGGGGGTAAAAAAAAAAAATCCCTTAATAAAATAGGATAATTGAGTCATATTCTAAAATTGTAATTGTTTCAGCAAGAAAACTTGGAGAATATTCCAATTAGAGGGTGGAAGGAACCGAAAATGGGGGGAGAAATAGGAGAAAAGAGGGTAAAAGAATAATTTAATTGATTAAATAAGATAATCGAGTTATTTAAAAGTTATAAGCATCTCAACAGAGGGACAAATTAATGGTTTTGGCATAAGTTGTGGGGTAACTTTAGAAATGTCAAAGTTTTATGGGGCATGTACTAAAACCTCCTATTGTTTTATAGCATGAAAAGCACAGTTATCATCTAATAATAAATTCATATTCATTAACCTGAGGTCATGCAAGTGTTTAGTAAAATTATAGGTCTAACACCAAAGGATTATATTAAGTAAAATTATTTAACAAAGTTACTTAAGCTTTTATGTTACTTGGAAATAATCATAGTAAAAGGTGGGCTAATTAGCACCCAAATATCGTATAATTTATATTATTTTGCACTTATATATCCTCACTTGTTTTTGGTAGCACATATACCTTGAATTTTTAAAAATTAGCACTTCAGTACCTTCTGTTATACAAACATGAGGATATTATTCCTGAATATTCTCATGTGATACTCACATGCTAGTTTTAAAAACCTTTTTATCTTTAATGTTTGCTGAATTTACTGTTTAATCTATCCTAATATTATTTTAAATGAACTGGGAGAAGTATCAAATAGTATTCGAGTAGGTTTACTACTAAATTAACAAAAGCCCTATTTGGCAAAGAGTTAATGAAGAATTGAAGAGAGATTAAGGAGAACGATTAACGTAGTTAGCCCATTCGATAATCCGAAGGACTAAATTATTAACTCGTTAAATAAGTTTTATTTTAGCCATTGTGATCATTTTTAGTATTTGAAAATAACGAGGATTTTGACTAATTTTTTATAAATAGAAAGGTTAGCTCTTAATTCTTTTAAATAGGAGTATTAGTAAACCCCTCATTTTAAGAGGTTAACTCATTTTATTCCCTCTAGAGGGGTTAGTTTAACCCTTCTGTATATTTTTCGTTTGACAAATTAGAGGATTAACTCACATTAACACTTGTATGAATTTATTGTGTTTGATGGGTTATGAAGGGGTTAAGTCCTTAGTGTTGGAAATTCATGCTAATTACATACAAAATACGCAACGGAAGACTGTATGTATAATAATACTAAGCATGTAGAGAGCATGAAATACAAGCTAAGATCATCCTAATTAAATCTAACATAATCCTTATAATAAAGAGAGCAACCGAGAGCTTTGAAGGCTTACTTTCGTAGCGTGATTCGATGGTAGATCGAACAACCCCTAGCTCGTTCTCCTAGTTATTGTAAACCTCCTTGTAGTGGATCTCCAAGTTTTCAAGTGAGCTTGATAAAATCAGAGTCTTCTTGAGACACAAGGCAAGATATCCACCTCGGGGTACTTTAAAATCCCTTTAAAATCCTACTACTTCCTATTACTCAAAGATTGTTAGAGTTTAGTAAGAGATAGAGCTATCTTTTATTCTCTTATGGAATAAACCACTTAGCCAATTTTTCATTAATCTCTCCATAAGAGAGCTCATATATATAAAGTGAGATATGTTATGACTCATCTCATGAGTCATGCCATGAGTCATCTAAATATAATGATTCTTTTCATGAGTCATGCAATGACTCATCTCATGAGTTATGCAAAGAGTTATGAAGAATCAAAGCTATGTGCTAAAACCATGTTCCCAAATCATACCACCTTAATGACTCATCTCATCTCATGACTCATTAATCAAGGTATAATGAAGTGTGTATTTCATAAATAAAAATATCATATCAATACGGTATTTCATAAAATATGGTATTGCGTAATTTTCCAATCATTAATTAATAAGTCATCATATGACCAAAAAAATCAATGAGTTGACCAAAACTCAACTGTTGACCAACAAGTCAACCAGTTGACTAAAAGTTAACTTTATGAAAAAATACTAGAATTCATTTTTTAAGCACATAGCATTCTGATTTTACCGATACATATAATCGTTTATGTGTATACAATGAAAATCATATATGAGCAACAAGTTGACTTTTGGTACGAGCAATTGCCTTTGTGAATGGATCTGCTATATTATCTTTTGTGTCTATTCTTTCAATCTTGATCTCTTGGCAATCAACTATCTCCCTGATCAAGTGATACTTCCTCAGAATGTGTTTGGACTTATGGTGAGACCGGAGTTCCTTTGTCAGACCTATTGCAGTATTACTATCACAGTATAAAGGTATTGGATCTTTAATGGTAAGAACAGCTTCCAGCTCTAAAAGGAATTTTCTCATCCAGACAGCTTCTTTGGCTGCATCATTTGTCGTAATGTATTCGGTTTACATAGTAGAGTCTGCTACTATGTCCTGCTTGGAACTTTTTTAACTAACAACCCCTCTATTGAGAGTAAAAACATATCCTGAAACAGATTTACTATCATCGATATCGCTCTGAAAGCTAGAGTCGGAAAAAACCTTCATTTGGAGGTCACTTTTACCGTATATCAAAAATAACTATTTAGTCATTTTCAGGTACTTAAGTATATTTTTGATCACTTTTCAGTGCTCTTCTCCATGATTAGATTGGTATCTACTTACCAAACTGAGTGAATAAATGATATCCGGTCTAGTACATAACATTGCATACGTGATCGATCCTACTGCTGAGACATAAGGAATTAGACTCATGTGTTTTCTCTCTTCATCAGTCTGGGGAGACATCTTTTTAGAGGAAGATTCCAGGAGATGCAGATACGAAACCTTTCTTGGATTTTTTCATGCTTAAGCGCTTTAGCACTTTACCAATGTATCTAGATTAGGATAATCCTAATATCCTTTTAGATCTATCTCTATAGATCTTTTAGCACTTTACCAATGTATCTAGATTAGGATAATCCTAATATCCTTTTAGATCTATCTCTATAGATCTGAATACCCAGTAATGTATCTAGATTAGGATAATCCTAATATCCTTTTAGATCTATCTCTATAGATCTGAATACCCAGTATATAGGATGCTTCACCCAAATGTTTTATGAAAAATCTTTTTGATAGCCAAATTCTATAGATCTGAATATCCTTTTAGATCTATCTCCATAGATCTGAATACCCAGTCCATAAATAGCTTTAAGCAACTTACATGCTTTTTCACCGCTCCCACGGACTACAAATTCCTCTGGTTGAGACATATATATGCATTCTTCTAAATTACCATTTAGAAATACAGTTTTGACGTCCATTTACCAGATCTCGTAGTCATAGTGAGCAGTTATAGCAAGTAGGATCCGAATAGACTTTAGCATAGCCACTGGAGAAAAATATTTCATCGTAGTCCAAACCAGGTCGTTGACGAAAACCTTTAACTACCAGTCTAGTTTTATAAGTCTAGTTTCCCATCTACACCCAATTTTTTTTTAAATAACCATTTGCAACCTATGGGTATCACCCTTTTAGGAGCATTGTCTAAGATCCATACTTTGTTGGTGTACATAGAGTCTATTATGGATTTTATTGCATCATGCCAAGCAATAGAGTTTCTACTTTGAGAGGCTTGCTGATAACTCAAATGTTCGTTATCATCTATGACATGATCTAACATGCTACCTTCAACAAGAAAATCATA